TGTCGTGCAGAACATCTCGATGAACACTGTCCTCAACTCTGTTGTGGTGTATTGCTGCAGGTACCTGCCACGATGAGTCATCAACGAAGTCAAAGTGTTTCGCTGGTCCTGAGACAAATCTGCAAGGGACAGCATGAGTAGGGCAATGAGATTCTCTCCTAAAGGAAAATCATTCTGATGAAGAATTCTCATATTGCCATTGACATTCTGCATGATTTCCTGAATCCTTTCTGCCGTTGGTGCTACTCCAGTCAACGCTGCATCTGCCTGCATCTGAGCAAGGACTTGGGGATGTGCTTGAGTGACTGGTTCTAACATGTCCATCCAACTGCTCATAAGCCTTTGGAGTAAAATCTGGAATCTTGTCATCCATTTCATCATGTCGGCTGATCCTCGATTGAATCGCACGAATTGCATAAACCTGTATAGGAATACATTGGTTGATCCTTTCACGAAATATGGTCGTAGTACTCGTTTGAAGTAATCTACTCCTGCTCCTGGTGGCTCATTAGCCTTCAATGAATCTCTGTCTAATACACGTTTGTATACTGCTGCTTCTCCTTCTAATCTGTTTCTCAAAGCTGGTCCTCTCTTCTCATCTTCCAGCTCGGTGATATCACACCAATCGTCTATGGCATCCTCATAGGAAAACCATGAAGTCTTTCCATCATAAGATGGGGGCACCTTTGTAGTGACCTGTGTTGTCATTGCTATTGCTGCTGGTTCTCTTCTCACATGCCTATTCACGTAGGCTGCTGGCTCATAAGCCACATCCGCATCAGGCTCTTCCCAGTCGTCAATCCAATCCATGGCCGTTTGCCCACAAGCAATTCTATGCCTAGGAAAGGAGCTCACCTGGGTCTTCCAGGATCACTGCTCCGCTACCACTGAAAGAGTGACTAGGGCGTACACGGTAGAGGTGCAGACCGCTAGTGTCTTTTGCTCACGCAGAGTCTTATCCTTGAGGTCCATTGACCCTCTCTTGAGCCTTGAAGCAGTCAAGCATGGACACACTATATCAGCTGTTGGAGTGGAACCCTGTACAGGTAGGCTCTACTTTTCAGGGGGGGGGTCTGTATTGAAAAATAAATTCGGGGGGGGGGGTCTGAATTGAGCGATCAATTATTCGACCCGGACGCGCCAACACTTGCTTCGCAAGACAAACTCAAGGTATCCCCTAAAGGGCTACCTTTCGTGACATTGAATTGATGGCTCTTTCACTTCTCAAAGCCCCAGTTCACTCATGCTCCGCCTCGAATCCATCTCTCTGAGGTGACACTGTCAGCCTTTTTCGTCCCTCCCTCGATCCAGCCACTGAAGCACCACCGCTGCGCCGCAATGCCCAGCCAAGCGTCCTAGGTGCCGCCCAGCCAGGCCCAGCTTCTGGGCCTCCATGGCCACAGCGGTGGCCACGTTCAGGCTCACCTGGTGCGAGATGGGGGGGCCACTTTCCCAGGTGGGGGCCATGAATTGCAGGCTGAAAGCCTTGCACAACCCTAGATGTCGAGTTCCACCTATTTTGGGGAACCGACTGCAGTAAAGGGATTTCACCTTGACTCGGGTCATCAAAACACCATTCTTTTAATAAGCCTGGAACTCCACAGGGTGCAGGTCTTGGGTCATACCAAAAGCTCTACTCAGTCTTCGGTGCTCAGGACCAGGTTAAGGTTTCACTCATTCGTTGGACCTCCAAAAAAGTGTGACCCCCTCAAAACATCTCAAAACCATCGGGCCCACGTTGGGCGTGGACGAGCCGGCCACGTTTTTCACGCGACAAACCGGACCCCCCGCAACCCCGGCCGTTGCGCAGCGCCGCACCGCGCCGCGCCCCGGGCGAACGCCTCGCCTGACCCGTTCGTTGCGCCCCCGGTTGTCGCCCGGTTGGCGCCTCCTGGATTCGGTCCCGCTTCGGCACCACCATGTCCAAGCCATGTTCCTCCTCACCTCGGACCGTTTCCGCCGGACCGGTCGACCACGGGCAGCAAGCCGGAAGCCACGCACACGGAGGGCGGCCCGGGTGACCGGGGAACAAAGAGCCCGGAGACCGGGGAAAATGGAGCGAAAGCGGCGCCGCGCAACCCTCGGCGAGTGTTTCGTTGCGTCAGATGTTCGTTTTTCGTTGCACGTCTCGGAAGTGGAAGATGGACCTTGCAAAAGACGGGGTGTGGCCGGAAAGCCGCTCCCAAAGCGAGTGATTGAAAGGGAGCACAAACACGGATGGCCAAAAATGGTGGTCGAAGATATGGTCGAGATTGTGTAACCGTCACCGGTTCGGTGGACACCATTCTTGCTGTTTGCTCTTGCTTTTTGTTTGGTGTGCGTGTGTGTTTGTCTCTCTTTGTGGTGGGGGGTGCTAACTGATTCTTCTTATAAGAGGTATAGAGTCATAGTGAGAGAGAAAAAACAAGATGGAGCCCACGAACCCGAATGCAAAAACATGTCAATCCACTGTGTATAGAAAGAGACACAGCCGGTTAGATTATCTTTTTCACACTCCGGTACGCTGTTAGACACGTTCGAAAAGCTACAAGTGACACTCTTGTAGGACACTCTTGTGGGAAACTCTTGTGGGTCACTCTTGTAGGAAACTCTTGTGGGACACTCTTACGGGACACTCTTGTGGGACACTCTTGTGGGACACTCTTGTAGGACACTCATACGGGACACTCTTGTCGCACACTC